TTTTTATTAGGTGCGCCTCACTAAGATGTACACACGCTCTAAATTTCAAGTAATTTGGATTTGTAAAAAACAAATGAAAATTAAAACCCTACAGTGCGATGAAGTTTGGATGGTGATGAGGGTAGGATAAATCACTATTCATTTTCGCCTACGGATGTTGGGAAGAGTTTTCCTATATATATGTATATATATACACACACACACACATATATATACACATGGAAAAAACTAACAAACACTTGACAGCTATAATGAATAGTAATATAGGTGGAATCCCAGCTGTAAAATCTTCATCGAGTGGTTCAAAATGCATATCACTATCTTAATTTTAATCTTTCTTCTAGAAATCAGATCGTGATGAAATTGTACTGAAAAATGGGGTGCACAAGAAAAAAATATAAAACAAATATTTTTAAAATATGAAATGACCAAAATATCCCTGAAAAATGATGGGGGTAATTTGTTCATTTAAATTCTTAAAAGTATAATTTTTTTTACTTTTACATGATGGTGTGCAATAGTGTTAAGTATATACACCCAAAATTTTATCTTAATCAGATTTATAGAAAAAAGATTACAATTCAAATAATTATATGTATTTTGAACCACCCGATGAAGATCTGACATCTGAGATTCCCCCTATATTACTATTCATTATAGCTGCCAGTGTTTGGTAGCTTTACTATATATATATATATATATATATACAGTCATTTTGGTGAGGAAAAGCTTTCCTCTAGGGTTTCTAGAGAGAGAATGATAGAGACAGAGAAAACCCCCCTTTCATAGAAAGCTTGTCTCTAGGGTTTACAAAGAGAGCAATTGGAAAAGAGAAAACCCCCTTTACACAGAAAGCCTCTCTCTGGGGTTTAGGGAAAGAAGAACCTTTAGCAATGGGGAAACTCAATTTGGTGCAAGTACTTTTATTCCCTATGGTTCTACCCTAGATAAAAGGTTTCCCATACAAAGTTGTGTGTTAATCGTTTTTCACTTTGATTTGCGGTCTTTTCTCCCTTGTTACTAGCCTTGTATATCTAAAGGTGGTTTATGTGGTAGCTTTGACTTATTAGTTTGGTCCAATTACTGTATTAGTGTTTCACACACATAGACATGAAGGTGTTGTTCCCCAAAACTTTTATCCAAGCCAGTTTTCCTTCTTTTTTTTCCCCTTTTCCCAAGTTGGTACAGGTATTTTTCATTCGTGATTTTCAACGGTTTACGTATTGGAAGTAGGACAATAAGACAATTTGTCTCAATGGAAATAAATGACCAATCCAACTATCGAAGATAAGGATGTCTTGTCTTATAAAGAGCTATAGGATACCTTGAAGGAAAAACTCAAGTTGCTTCTTATTTAAGTTGATGTTATTTTAATGCAGGGCTGGCAAGACATTTATTAACAAAAGTATCAAACGCATCTAATTGTAAACGTAAGTAGAGTAGCATATGCCCTAAAAACAAAAAACTAGAGCAGAATAAACCAGGTCGACGTGACGAAGAGAAACAATTGAAGTAATAAAGTTGAAAACTCAGAATTCCAAATGAACCTAACTATGCTCCTTTCTATTCTAGGTAGCGAGAATTAATTGAAGAGGAATACCACAAATGATCCACTATGCAATTGAATATCCATAGAGAACGCCACGGACTAGTGCAATGCATATATAGAAGCATAGGTCATTGAACAGTGATTCAGTCAAAGAGTAGAATTTGAAAATATATCCAACTTTATCTACGAGAATAGCATATACCAAAATGAGTGAGGAGCAACAATAGGATGAAAAGAAAGTTCATGATGATGAAAAAAAATAAGATTGTTAAACACTGAGGATTAATTAAATTTAAATTGGGTACATCTATACACATAATATAATAAAATTGAAGCACACGTGTGCAACATAGTCTTCTCCCAACATCATGTTCACAATTAGTATTAGCTCACCTTCAAGGCAACCTCAAACTTTTCAGTTCTTGAACCATAATTCCTTGACGTATTGTCTTGCTATCCATGTTTCCCTCTGGTGTTTTTATGTATCTCATGACACAAGCTTTCATCATCAATTCCTCTTCTCCAAAAAATTATTTTTCTCTTGGCAAGTTCTGCTCGCTCGTGTCTCCTTTTTTTCATCTATTTGGAGTGATTTTTGTATTGGTTCTTAGTAATTTTATTTCTTTGTGATTCATCTTCTTGCTTTTTCTATATTAGTGAGCAAGGAGTTAGAATCCGTGCCCAAGGTGCAAGAAACAGAACCAAAACACTATAATGTGAAGGGTTCACCACTCATCTTCTTTCGTGTTTACATTAAATTTCTTCCGCGTTTACATTGAATTTCGATTATAATGTCTTAAATTCTCAATTGTTTCTTGCTTCCTTGAACATTGATGCCGCAGTTTTTCTCAACTGCCATTTTTTTCCATTACCCCAATCCAAAAGACAACTAAAATGTCATAAAGAAAAGAGATCGAGCACATCCTCATAGAAAAATTAAGAGAGAGTGAGAGAGGCAATAAACCAAAAGATAATTAAGAATTAAAAATAGAAGGGATCAAGCACATCAATTATAAAAAATCACAAAGAGAGAGAGTAACCCAATCGAGAGAGAAATATAGGAAGGAATAAGAAAAATATACGATACCTCTGAGTTGCCCTTTCCTCCCCATCTCCTGTAACTCATCTACATGGTTAATGATCCTCTTCTGTTCAGCAAGACTGAACACACCCACATGAAGCTCCAAACCCCCAAGAATATTTACAATCTTCCCATTAACTCTCTCTAAACAAATAAAATCCTTCTTTCTCACCACCCTCATAAAACGGAGATACTCTCTATCATCTCTGGAAAGCATCACAGGCTTCTGTTGAGACTCCACTGATGGCCCTGTAACTTCTTCAATTGGGTCACCCCATGACTGACTGCTCACTTCTTCTTGGTCTTCGAGCTCTTCTTCCTGGACCATATCCGCCCATGACATTCGTGGGGTAGGGCTAGGGTTTGCGGCTGAATCATGGTCCGGTTCACAGGAATTTTTCCCAGATTCCAGCGACTTTGGGCTGCAATCTGACTGGTTTGTGATGAACTCTGGAACGTCCTGTGAATCATGGTCCGGTTCACAGGAATTTTTGCCAGATTCCAGCGACTTTGGGCTGCAATCTGACTGGTTCGTGATGAACTCTGGAACATCCTGTAAGTCACCTGGATGAAAGGAATCCCAAAAAGAAAGGCAAGTGATTAAGAGATAGACCGATTGAGAGAGAGAGAGAGAGAGTTCAATTCAGTCGAATTAGGATCAAGGTCCCCAATTATGATTTCAAAATTGTAACTCGGCATAAAGAAGAACGAGAGAGAGAGAGAGAGGAATTCTAGAGAGTGGAAAAGAATGAGGAAGAATAGAAGACAGTGAGCAGACAAGATTTAGAGAGAGAGAGAGAAAGAGTATCTCGTGGAGTAGGATGGGAACGAATAGAAGAGAGTAGAGAATATAAAATTTAGAGAGCGAAAGTGAGAAACCTGAAGCGATGGCGTGGATACGTTGATGGAGGGTGTTGATGCATGTAGAGCAAAGATCTTGGGAGAGGAAGGGGAGCCAGTGGTTCAGGATATTGGCCGCTACCTCAAACTCAGAGCTTTGAGATGGCACGTTCATGGCCGCGCGTCTCAGACTGTACCGCACCCAGCAAACGACCCAATTCACCTCTCTCTCTCTCTCTCTCTCTCTAAGTCACTCTTCTCTCTACTAAA